CTAATGGCACATACCAGATTGGGTTGCATCAGCAATCAGGAATGACCACTCCACTTCACTAAGTAGCCTGCTCAGACTGATGCACGACAGAAACTACCCATTCCTACACCCACAGATGCATGTGTATTAGAGCAGCCCGAGTTCACCTCCACAGAGTGCCAGTATAAACAGCGTGTCTCCCCAACACTGACCCTTGTCAAAGGACCACAAACAATTTTTGTTCTTCTCTTAGAAAAACTTTATACCAAAATACATACAATAAAATGCACAAATCATAAAGCTCAATGAATTCTGACATATGTACACACTCACATAACCATTGCCTAGATCAAGATATCAAATATTCTCACTCATTTTCTCACCCTTCACCTACTACATAGACATTTTTGCCAAGGAGACATACAGAAGGCCAACAGACATAAAAAGATGTTCAATAACACTCATCAAGTCTAAACCCTATGAAATGTCACATCACATCAGTCAGAATGTCCAAAATCCAAGAGACAAAAAAATAAGAGGTGTTGGCAAGGACATGGAGACAACAGAATGCTGGTGAGATGGCAAGTTGGTGCAGCCACCATGGAGAGGAGGATGGAGGTTTTTCAGAGAACAACTGTGCTCTCTGTAATGCTAGGGCATGAAGGAGGACATTGAATGGTGGTTTGCTAAGGGTGCAACAAAGAGTCACCTACCTGCCTCGTGTAACCCAGGAGGTAGAGAACAGCACGTTTGCAGAAATGGATTAAGTAGAACTTTCATGAATTGACTTCAGACAGACGAAGTTGCTTCCTGTGGAGACCTTGCAGGGAAAACAAAAATGTCATTAAGAGGGTGAACCTGACTTACTGGGCTTCCCCACTAAGAAGGGACAGTCCACTAGCAGATGGCTTCTTTTCCAAGGCAGGGAGGATGGGTCACAGGTGAAGTCTGATTTGAAGGTAACCTGCCATGTGAAAAGGGGTGGGAAGGGTGCTCTCACCTGTGACTATTCATGCTCCAGGGGCTTCCCTGCTGAGGCCAATCTTCCCAGCAGCCTGCCCCAAACTCTCCCCACCTGACTTCTCTGCTAGGCAGTTTTGGGTGCTCTTCTAGTGCACAGGCACCCAGAGACACAAACACTGTCCCAGGCCACACAGTGCTCTAGCACACACGCAACACCACACATGCAGACACATGCAAGAGCTACTACATACACAGACACATGAAGGAGGGGAACCAACACAGCAAACCACTCACCACTGTGCCAGACTGCAAGTGATGCCGGGGTTCTTGTTTGCGGAGTCCAAGCATGAACTTAGCAAACTCTCCTTACCCATGGTAGGAGAGTCAGGGCAGAGGCTTTTATTGAGAGATACAGTGAGAGGACAGAGCTCCTGGCTCACCCCAGGAGGGACAAGAGAGCCTGTGTTGGTGTGTTGTCTAGGGGTTTTAGAGGCATGTCTTGCCGATGGGTTTCAGCCCTGGGCAAGTTCATTATGGATTCAATGTGACTAAAGAAATTGACAGCAAAACATTCTTGGGTGAAAGGGTTATATCTTACTTTATTTCTAGGTGGCAGGTCAGTCACTAGAATCCCATTCACTCAGAGAGTCTGCATGCAGCAAGCCGGTCTCTGCCTCTGGGCCCTTCTGTCTGCACAGCTGTCTTCTGGGCCTCTGCATAGTCATCCCACAGCTGTCCTCTGGGCTTCTCTCCTCTGCTCTGCTCTCCTACAGCCTTGCAGCCCTGCCACCGTGTTGTGCCCAGGGCACCGGGCAGAGCTCTTTATATAGAGTAACAGCCATATAGTGCCCACAGGTGTGCAGTGAGCTAGTCAATCAGGGCCAGGTGAGAATCCTGGCCACAGGAACGCTCATTTTATCCACAAGGCAGTTGAGGATTTTTGGGAATGTGAAAAAAGGCCTAGGGGTGTGGAGTTGTTAAGTAGTCCCTGAATATTTAGAATTAATCTAAACTTCCTGCTCTGATTTCTCCTTGAGATGGGGGTGTCTTGGTCTGGGAGCATATAAAACAAGGCTGCCTGCCCAGCCCCCAAGGTGGGCTGAGTTACTGTCTGTCTGCTAAAAAGTTAAGAATCTTACTTCTTAACTTCCTGGGTGTTAGAATGCAATCTTATCTTTAAGGTGGAATCCTTCCTGCCTTTTACTATGTTGTTTATGGCTGGGTCTGCATGCTAAATTAGTTGCTCAGTTTGCAAATCACCCCATCAGTTCTGAAGGATGAAAGACAGCACATAGGCCTGGGCCTTTTAGCATACTAAAGTGAATCTTACACATGATTACATATGATTAGCATAATAAAAAAATGTGCTACTCTTCTTTATCTGGGGAGTATTAACTGACCTCACTGAAGAATGACTCTATAGAACTTAATATTTAACACAGTTTTGGTGGGGGGGTTCCCTTGCATGTAGTTACATTGCTCTGACTGTGAATATACTGCCATGCTTTTTCCAGTGGCCCTCACCCTACTCTGACTACATCCAGGGTCCCTGTCTTATTCCCCCCTCTACAGATAAAGACCCTAGCTGCTGCTAGGGAAAGGGGGCGAGGACTTCTCTGGCTGCTTCATGCTGAGAAGGGGGCACAGTAAATGGTGCAGTTAGGTCTCCGTCACTGGTCAGTAGAGAGGGCCTCAGAAGATGGGCACTTCTATTCCAGGTTCCATTTATATTACTATTTGCAGTTTCATGGCTTCTAGGCAAGATAGAACAAGTCCTGTTATGAGGTTAGGTAGCAGCATCTGGAGTTGGATTTTCCCTTTTGGAAGAACAAACTTGACAAGGAGCTTAAAGAATGCATGGCTAAATATGAGGATTAAGAACAGTAAGATTCTGATTGAAATGATGGGAGAAAACTAAAACGTGGAGAATCATAGCCAGATATATATTTTTTAATTTTTTATTAAGGTATTATTGATATACACTCTGATGAAGGTTTCACATGAAAAAACAATGTGGTTACTACATTTACCCATATTATCAAGTCCCCACCCAGACCCCAATGCTGTCACTGTCCATCAGTGTAGTAAGATGCCAGATTCACTATTGGCCTTCTCTGTGCTACACTGTTTTCCCCGTGATCCCCCACACCATGCGTACTAACTATAATACTCCTCAATCCCCTTCTCCCTCCCTCCCCACCCATCCTCCTACACCCCTCCCCTTTGGTAACCACTCATTCCTACTTGGAGTCTCTGAGTCTGCTGCTATTTTGTTCCTTCAGTTTTCCTTTGTTGTTGTACTCCACAAATGAGGGAAATAATTTGGCACTTGTCTTTCTCCACCTGGTTTATTTCACTGAGCATAATGTCCTCCAGCTCTATCCACGTTGTTGCAAATGGTAGGATTTGTTTCTTTCTTATGGATGAATAGTATTCCATTGTGTATATGTACTACCTCTTCTTTATCCATTCATCTACTGATGGACACTTAGGTTGCTTCCATATCTTGGCTATTGTAAAAAGTGCTGCAATAAACATGGGGGTGCATATTTCTTTTTGAATCTGAGAAGTTGTATTCTTTGGGTAAATTCCAAGGAGTGGGATTCCTGGGTCAAATGGTATTTCTATTTTTAGTTTTTGAGGAACCTCCATATTGCTTTCCACAATGGTTAAACTAGCTTACATTCCCACCAGCAGTGTGGGAGGGTTCCCCTCTCTCTGCATCCTCGGCAGCATTTGTTGTTCTTAGTCTTTTGATGCTGGCCATCCTTACTGGTGGGAGGCGATATCTCATTGTGGTTTTAATTTGCATTTCCCTGATGATTAGTGATGTGGAACATCTTTGCATGCATGTGTCTTTTCTTAGCCAGATATTTTGGGGAAACTAGAATTCTGGATCTAGTTTGTCCCAATGATTAGTATTAGGGCTCAATATAGAAAAGGCTGCATTATTGAAACAATACTTTTCTCTAAAATCACCCTCATTTTTATTAGAAGTAACCAGATTAAGAAAATAATTAACACTTGGCTAGATTATTTACATAAGTGCAGAAAGAAGAGCAATTGATTACATAGGCTCTTTTAAATGTGCTTGGCTGGAACTTCTTACAAGGAATTTCAGATTGGACTTCTAAAGGCCCCTCAAGACCAGAAAGCTAAGCCAGACTTGCCATTAGGTTTTGCCTGCAGTACCTGTAGGTTTAGGGGAATTCCTCTCTTCTTGAGGTTCCCAAGACATTCCTGAGATTCCTACACCTGCCAGGAAGTGACCCTCTTTACTCACCTGGTAAGGCTGCTGGGAACCCTGTAAGCAAGGTACCAGGCCAGTTCTTGCAAGGTGCTTTATTGGCTCTGTAAAGTCAACCTTAGTTCCTTAAAGCTGTCTTGTTCATATCAGTTTCACATGTGTCTCTCAGGTATGACATTTCAGTCAAAGCCTAGGTACTATAACTAGTGTATTTAATTCATCTTGTTATAAGGAAAGCAGATTCTTCTTGCACTTATGAAAATAAACATACTGCCATAAAATAAAAAAAAAATACTCATTGAGAGTTTTATAAATTCTGGAGGGATCAGGCAGAGAGAAAGATAAACGTTTCAATTCTGCTTACAAAGGTATTGTCATTTACTAAACTGTCGTCCGTTTAAGAGTAAAAGTTTAAAACACTTTATCAGCAACATTTGAAACAAAAAGTCATAAAATTTTTTTCCTTAGTTTACTTAATCTTACGTAACTAATACTTGCTCTGTTGAAACCTAGTTCTTTACCAGTTTAGGAGTAATAAAACAGTGACTTTATATGACAAAAGACCTACAAATGACAACGGTTAAAGATCTGATGAGAGCTTACTATAAGACAGGTGACATAAGAAAATTTGGATATTTCTGTAACATAAGACATTCAGTAACAAAGTTTAGCATCATTCCCTTTGATGGTGCTTTCCAGGTAAATATATATCAGATGAATAAGCCAAATTAGCCAAATATTTTCCCCGATGAGGAGAAAAAATTCCCCTCACATGTTCCAGGGGCCCTCTGGAAAATATCAGAGTGAACTAGAGGTAAAAAGCACCTTTTTGAATTTGATTTTGGGAAGCTGTCAGAAAATTTTTAAGGCACTTTCCTAAATAGAATCATATGTCACTATGAAACAATACTTACCTATTTAACCAGGATGACAATAAAAGATTTTAAAGGCAAATACAGAAGGTTAAACAGTTGTTAGCAAAGCTTATAGTCCTTTTAATAGTAAGATCTCATTTTCTTAAATACTCAGGCAACTCACTGAGACTTTAAGCATGAGAAACTGTTTTGATAAAACAATAGGAAAACCCTTTGCAATCTTTCAGCATTAACGGTACACTAACAAACCTTAGTTCTGTTAACAGAAAAAATTCTAGTTTTGCTATGTACTTGATAGCAAGATTGATTTGCTTTAATTTCACATAGCATGACCATACCAATAATGTTTTCATAAACTTTCTACAACTTTCTTTTTATAGTTTTCCCTCTTTAAATAAACAGCTGTACTTTAGAGCAAGGTTACTTTCTTTTATCAAAAGACATATTCTTATGCAGAAATGTTTTCCTTATTACTTCAAGTAGTTATAATTAGAACTTAAAACCAATAGGAACTTTAATTTCCAGTGAACACTGAGAAGTAGGCTATTGTAAACTGTTACACTAGCATTCTTTAGATTGACAAATTTATGAACACATTTTATAATTACTGGAACCGTGTGCTTTACAGCACAATCTCTAAGTATAAACTATGTCTACTTAACTTAGCAAAACTTGCAGGTTTTAGGTTACCATAAAGATTCTCAGGCTGTTTGTAGGTATACACACTGTAATACGCTGTAACACACAATTATTAAGATGTTTACTTGCTACACTTAGTTTACTCGTTTCCAAAAACTATGCTAGTTTACTCACAGAACTTTTACCAAACATTAGACAAATTCAAGCCTCTCTTTAAGGACCTATACACCCCCTGAACGCCCGCGCTGACCAGCCTGGGAGTACAGGAGGAACCCCCTCCCCAGCGGATGCACCCTCCTAGCGCCCTTGCCCGTGTGCCCAGGGACCTGACACGGAAAGCACTAGCTGCAGTCAGAGAAGCTGGCAGGTCTGGCGAGCTACTGGCTGAGATCAGGTCACCTTCCTGGCTGGGTAAGTACATGCATCTCTTCCACGCCCACCCATACCTTTCTACTTTCCTCCCAGGGCCCATGCACCACCCCCAAACCCCCTGATCAAAAAGTCAACGTGGGGGCAGCTACTTACTATGAGCTGAGGCTGCTGCACGGCGGCCAGGACTGCGTGGGAAGGAGGGGGTCCGGTCCCCGTGAAGGAGGGTCCCTGTTGGTGGCGGCAGGAGTCTGGGGTAGAAGGCGGTGACGTCTGGCTGCCGAAGGCGCTGGGCGTCCGCGAGTGTTGGCAAAGGCAGCGAAGTAGGTGTCAGCAGGAGAAGGCAATGGCAGGCAGCGGTGTCGGCAAGCGTCCGGGCCGGGTGTCAGCGGGAGGCATCTGCGGGCGGGGACAGGCGGGGGGCCGGCTCTGGGGCGGGTGGCTGCTGCCGGCGTCTGCGCTTCGAAGAAGGGCCGCTGGAGCGGCGGGAGGCGGCCTGGGCTAGTATCTGGTATCTGGGCCGGCGGTGCGTAGGCGGGCAGCGTCTGTTGCAGGCCGACACCCTTAGGACGCTATTCCGTTCACCTACCGGCACTGCCGGCCGCCGCCACCGCCTGCGGCTCACCCTACCCGCTCCCTTCCCGCAGCGACACCGCCTCGGCCCGCTGCTCCTGCCGCCACCGCCTCTCACCAGGACAGACGCCTCGGTCAGCCACCTACAGCAGCCCAACACCGCCCACCACTGCCGACACCGACGCCCGCCAACTCCCCCGCTGCTTTCCCTTGCACGCCGCCGTCTGCCGCCGCCTCTGGCTGCGAACCTGCAGAAGGCAGCCTCGGAAGTCCGCCGGGACAGCGGACACAGCCTCCCATCGCGGCGGACATCACGGCCCATGATGGACAGCAGCCCGTCGAGGCTGCCCCCCACCGCAGACGCCGCAGCCCGCCGCCGCCTCTGCCTCCTCTCACGGCGCACCTGCAGACGCCGGGCTGGGACTGCGGCCCCACCCACAGACACCGCCGCAGCCTCCCTGCAGCCTCCGGCAGGAGACGCCTTCCCCGCTCGCTCCCTCCCCGTCCCCCGACGCCTCCCGCCCCCTGGGGCGGGCTACTTACTATGAGCTGCTGCGGCGAGGGGGCGTGGCCTGCGTGAGGACGGGGGCACCGGGTCCCTGGCGAGGGGGCCCTGAAGCCGGCGGGAGGAGGCTGCGGTAGAAGGCCGCGGACGTTAGGTGTCGATGGGCGCTGGCCAGCGGTGCAGGGCTTCGGCGCGCGACAGCGGCGTCAGCGGGAGGAGGCACTGGCGGGCGGCGGTGTCTCCAGGCGTCCGGGTAGGTGTCAGCCGAAGGCATCTGCGGGCGGGGACAGGCGGGAGGCGGGCTCTAGGGCGGGTGGCTGCCGGAGTCTGCGCTTCGGCGGCGGGAGGCTGGGGCGGCCTAGGCTGGTGGCAGGCATCCCGGCCAGCGGCGCGGAGGCGGGCGGTGTCAGCGGCTCTGGTTGCGGGCGACACCTAGCCTTTCGGGCGCTCCGCCGCTCACCAACCGACACTGCCCGCTGCCGCCACCTGCGGCTCACCACCACCCGCTCTCGCCTCCCACCCACACTACCTCTGCACGCTGCTCCTGTCGCCACCGCCTCCCGCCGCTACTGACGCCACAGCTGGCCATCGACCGCAGCCCGATACTGCCCACCGCTGCCAACGCCTATGCCCGCACCGCCCACAGTCACCGCCGCCGAAGCGCCCAGCCTGCAGCCTCCCGCAGCAGACGCCTTCCCCGCTCGCTCCCTCTCCGTCCCCCGACGCCGCCCGCCCCTGGGGCTGGCTACTTACTATGAGCTGCTGCTGCGAGGAGGCGAGGCCTGAGTGAGGACGGGGGCACCGGGTGCCTGGCGCGGGGGCCCTGAAGCCGGCGGGAGGAGGCTGCGGTAGAAGGCCGCGGGCGGGCGGTTGGTGTTGGAGGGCGCTGGCCGTGGGCGTCGTCAGCGGATGCCGGCCTTCCCGGGCGGCGGTGTCGGCACTGCTCCCGGGCGGTGTCAGCGGGAGGAACAGGCGGGGGAGGGAGGACAGGCGGGAAGCGTCCTCTGCGGCGGGTGGCTGCGATTTGTTGGAAGGAGGGCGTGGTGGGCACCGAAAGCGGGTGGAGTTGGCTGGCCGGGGGATGGCGCGCAGCGTCGGTTGCGGGCGGACCCCGCCCCTTAGGTCGCTGCCCCCTCCCCGCAACGACGGACAGCGCGCGCCGCCGCCGCCAACTGCCGCTCACCGCCACCAACTCCCGTCCCCCAGCGACACCGCCACCCCCGAAGCCACCGCAAGCCATCGACGCTGTCCCCCACCGGGCTGACGCCGCCGCTGCCCGCTCCCTCCGCCTCTCGCCGCCACCTCTTGCTGCACTTGTGCGCATGGCAGCCCGGGACGTTCGCAGCCGCCGAAGCCGACGCCTCCCACGCTGGCATCCCCCTGACACCGCCCCTGGCCACTGCCACCACCACGGAAGCCGTCCCCCTCTGCCTACCGACACCCACCCCGTCGCCTCTCGCCTCAACCTCTCGCCACCCACCTGTACACAGCAGCCTCAGAAGTCCGCCAACGCTTTAAAATTGTGTCTAAATTTCTACATTCCTTGAATTTCATTTTGGTTCAAACATTCGTTATTTCTTTTTATTAAGCTTTTCATAAAGGCTTACTTCACCATAATACATATGATTATAAGGGAGTCAGTGTTCATGGGCATATATGCGTGTGTGTTTAGTTGAAGAAAAATGTATACAAATATGCATACACATCAACTTATCCTTGAATTTGTTCTTTGGACTCAACGTATTTCTACAAATTTCATTTTTAGTTACAACACCTTTTAGAAGTTTATTATTTCACATTCTTTTCAAAACTAAGGACACAGAGGTAGGGGGATTGAATTTTTAATAATTATATAACAGCAGTTAAAACACTACTTCTAGAGTTTTGCAACAAATAGAACCATGCAGTATGCACTGTTATTTTCTTATGAATTTTTAAATTATTCAATTTGTACACCTTAAATAGGTACAGTTTATTGCATCTAAATATTCCCTAATAAATTAGAATTAAAAAATCATAGTGGTTCATGAGTCAGGATAGAATCTGCAATACAAGTAGCTGAATCCTAATGGGTGAGGCAAGCTCTTCTAACTGGGAAAAAGTACTTTCATATGTAAATGTTAAAATAGTGAAATTAAATTAAGGCAACTTAGAATTGATAAACTCACTGTTACCCCTGTGAACTACAAGATTATACTGCACATACAGAAGTAAAATGACACAAATTGGTTCAAGACAGAAGAGTAATACAACTGTACACATCATGGATGAGCCATAGTAACACAATATAGGGATTTGCAGCTGAATGTTGCTTCATGAAGAGCCTGCTCTATAATCCCACTTGATTGAATGTAAAGACATTATATTACACCATTTTATTTTAGGATGGTTTGTTATGCAGCAATAGCTGATACAATAAACAACTCAAGGCAATCGTAATAATATGATTCTTCTCATCTTAGGCATTGATTGTGATATTTTAACATGGCATTCATGATGATTCTGCAAGAAGTTGGGAAGTGCAGGCCACAGTGTGGGGATGCAGCTCAGCCCACGTCCACTTCCACCTCTGCTGCAGCTGCTCGCCTGGAGCAGGGGTGGTGGAGGGCACGTGGCATCCTTTGCCGTTCTGCCTCGCGTTGCGATTTCTCGAGGGTTCGCTCCTTTGCTTGGGTCTTTATTACTGGCAAGTGTCTCCTGGGAAGTATTACTGGAGGATGCTAGAAAGGAATATCTTGGAAGCTATTCTGTCTTAAATGGAGGTTTATTAAATTGAAAATACGTGCATGAAAGGGTTTCCAAAGAATTCTTTGAAGGACTGTTGAAGGTTTAGAAAAGAGTTACTGGTTTCCTGGATTAATTAAGGATAGTTGTGTGAAGGAAGTCTATTTCTTTGGGAGTTTATATAGAAAATGAGAAATGAAAATAGAAGTGCTGTTGCTGGAAGGTTTCTAGAAGGTAAATCTAGACGCGCAGCCTTTGCCACAGCATGTGGCAGCCAAAGACCATGGGGAGGTGACTGTCTTGCTTTACTAAATAATGAGGACTAGACGGCATGGATTAGAACCAAGGTTTATTTACAGCTGCATGAGCCAGAAGTCAGCTGCAGAGAATGAAGTGCTTTGATTCATTTGCATTGGGAGTAACATTCAGACCCTGGTTTTAAAAAATAACTTACTATTCACACAAGGTAAATTAGAATTCAAAACCTATGAGTGCATTTTCCTTTGTGCAAAACTGGGCCAACTGAATGAATAAAATAATCATTTAAGATATATTTACCTTTAATATTTAATAATATTGTAGGCATGCACTTTCTCAACTGCTGGCTGGAAAGTTTGTTTTTCATCCTTTATATGCTAAACTTACGTCCCTCTCTTTACCTGTCATACAGCAGAACTTGTGTGTTGGCCTAATGGGTTTATACTTGCAGAGGTTAATTATGTGCATTGTGTGTCTAAACAGATGTGCCCTTAAAACATTAAAATTCTGTGTAACATAAATTCTGTAAGGATTATAGACGCACTGAGGTATGTATGAATGCCAGTAATTTAAACCAGCATTCACATTGTGGATAAAGTGAAGGTTCCTGGGGCCAGGATTCTCAACTGGCCCTGTTTGGCTGGCTCACTACATGCCTGTGGGCAATGCATTGCTATTGATTCTATATGAAGAACTCTGCCCAGTGTTCTGGGCGACTTGGTGGCACTGCTGCAAGGCTGCAAGAGAGCAGAGGCTGGAGTGGTGGCAGCACAGAGGACAGAGGCCCAGAGGATAGCTGTGCGGATAGAGAGGCCCAGAGGCAGAGACCGGCTTGCTGCATGTAGACTCCTTCTGAGAGCATGGGATTCTAGTGATTGACCTGCCACCGGGGAAATAAAGTTGGGTATAACCCTTTCACCCCAAGAACGTCTTATTGTCATTTCTTTGGTCAAACTGAATCCATAGTGAACTTGCCTGGGGCTGAAGTCCATTGGCAAGACAACATGCTCAGATACCCATATTTTCATTCAAAAATTAATGTCGAGTTGTTCAAGAATTACTGCTAAAACAGCCAGTGTAGAATAACAATTCCAGAGTTAATAATAAAGTAGCATGTGTTTCTCTTTTCACTGATGATTCCATATATTTAAGGAAGAAAATGTATTCCACCAGGTGATATTCATTTTTTTTTATCATTACTTTATGTTATTTTATTTTTTCTTTTTCTTTATTTATTTTTTAAGAGGGCATCTCTCATATTTATTGATCAAATGGTTATTAAAAGTTAATAACAATAAAATTCTGTACAGGGGACTTAATGCACAATCATTAATCCACCCCAAGCCTAATTCTCATCAGTCTCCGATCTTCTGAAGCAC